CCCCAAAACCCCAAAACCCCAAAACCCCAAAACCCCAGTAACTAAAGCTCATATTGAAAGCTGAGTAAATACTTCTTAACGTTAATCATCAAGGAAAGTGAGAAACCTTTCTTTACAAATTGAAGATAAAATTTAAAGCAAAGAAGCTTATAAAAATGTTAAACCCGATAATTTGACATGACTGAATCCGTTTTCATTCAGAATCTCGCTGACATTAGATTTTGAAATCAAAGAAAGAGAGACCTCCAATTTTCGAAGACTCAGCTTCATACCATCAGAAGTGGCTAATGATTGAACCAATCTTTCCAACTCACCAGTATCATTAATCCAATTTGAGTATTCTTCTCTCTCAGAATACTTCAGATTTATGGTCTCAATTTTTCAATCTCTCAGAATCCCACCTAAGTGAACAACTGCAGGGACTGAGATTTTACAAGAAGAGAGTTCTATTTTTGTGACATGGGAGTAACCGACCACAATTCTTTTGAATTGGCGAGCATTAATCCTGAATTCAGAGATACATAAGCTTCTTACCACTCTTGAACTGTTTCTCATGATTTCGTTAAAATAAGGAGTTAGCCTTGGAACGAGGTTCAAGTCTGAATGAAGCCTTAACCTCATAACTTCTTGAGGAAATGAGAAGGATAACATATTCAGAACATGCTTATTTTTCCTCTTTATGCAATTAAAATTTATGGATTTTAGATTGAAGAGTTTCAAAAACTGCTTTTGTTTGCAGTAATTGGTGAAGATATGGTGAGTCATAAAAAGACTTAACTGGATCTTATAATTATCCATGTTAGAGATACGATTCCCCTCTGGATTGTTTGAAATATCTCCGAAAGAATTAGCAAAGTGATGCTTTGCTAATTCTTCCTCAACTATTCTGCTTTCCTCTTGGACTTCTTCCTCAAAGCTATATTTATATATTGTTAGCCATTAGTTTGTTTCTTAGTGACAATCACATTTGTTAAAGTTTTCGTCAGAATTTACTGGGATTGATAGTTTGCAGAAACTACAATATTTTTACTCAAAATTTAAGCACTAAAGCACATTGATTCTAAAGGAGTTTGTCAAAGTATAGAGTCAATAATGTTTTATAGAACTAAGTGATGGCTACGGTTTAGAGATTTGCATCAGAATATTCTTGGGAGTTTTGATTCATAAACTCATAAAAGCATTATACAAAAATTTTCAGATTTATGGGAAACATCAGCAATCTGTCCGTTACTAAAATGATTGAGTCACTAATAATCAAATAATATCTGAAGTTTATTAAAAGTAGAAGTAAAGCTGTATGTACTTAAATTATACTCTAAACTTATCATTGGGAGAAAATCACTAAATAAACTATGTGGCTAAGTGAGACTATAAACGTCGAATCAAGGAAGAAGAGAAAAGAAGGCACTCCACACTTAAATGTATTCAAATAATTCACAAGCCAGTTTTGCTTTGTTTTATTACTTCAGTCTTGTCTACTTACAATGGATGTAGTGAGGCCTTCATATTTATTATAAACTATTTTATGTTCAATCTTTATCCACGAGGAAGGGGTTTTGGGGTTTTGGGGTTTTGGGGTTTTGGGGTTTTGGGG